ATGACTTATTTGTCCTTGGTTTAACGAACTTTTTTAACAAAGTTAGTCCTTAGGCTAAAAAAATAGAAATTGCAAACTACAAAGACAAAACTGCAACTTCAAAATTACAAGGACGAAAATAACAAATTTCAACAAACCATAGGGACGAAAAATGTAGTTTGCTCTAAAACATAATCTCTCTCTTTTTTGAAAAAGTGCACACACCATGTGTATTAAAATACTTTGATGCATTACTATACTCGAAACTTTAAAGGGAGCAGGGTGTATGATTGAATTGAATTCTTACGTAGTTTTTTTAGATAAGGAAAAGCTAAAAACCACCTAATTAAAATATAAGGATATTTGGTTAGAGTTAATAAAAAGGTGTTTGGAATTGTTTATTTGAAACAACTTATATTTTTTAACAAATGTACTTATCAATTTATTATAAATCAAAAGAGTTTAAGTTGTTTATCAAAACATTCAAAAGTGCTTATTACCGGTGTCGCACCGGAATAAGTCAATAAGTTGTTTTTATAAGCAATGTCAAACACTCTGAGTCGTAATTAATGAAATTGAAAAAGAAATTGTCTGTTTTTATATAGAATAATGGGTCCATTCTCTCTCAATTACAAATTTTCGTTCCAAATTAAATTGGTGGAATAAAAATTCCTTCACAGTTTCATTCCATGTTCTTTTTATTTTCATTCTACTACTTAAACCAAATAGATATATTTATTTCTAATAAAACCATACAAAAAGTCTGTTATCTTTATTAAAATGTAGAGATAACATAGATAAGATTGTGTCACAGTCATATTTTGTGAAATTCGGTTAGACCTCTATGAAGGTTCGGTCTGTCCTTGGTGTGTTATTCATGTGAAGGTTTCGGCTTGGTTGAAATAAAATTTTGAATTATTTCATGTACGATACAGTGGTATTTGCTATCAGAGTTTAATGTTTTCCTACAAGGCTCAACAGCTCAAAAAGAAAGGCTCATCAAGGGCTCGAATATCGTTTCATGGGTGTCCCATTAACCAGACGTTCTCAAATTATCCCAAATAACATATAGCACCTAATGTTTGGTAATTTTTTCTTTAATCACTACAATAAATTTGGATTTACAGGAGGTTTAAAACGTCCAAGCATTATAAAAACATATTTTATAGGACTTGACTTTATATGATCAAACTATATAGCGTTATATTTAAAAGTGATGCAATAAGTTTATAGGACGATTTTAAGCATTTTAACAAGTTCTTTTAGAATGTTTTTAAAATAAAGTATCGGATGCATTAGCTATTTATGGGACAGTTTTGATAAATGATCTATAAACCCATTTTGTTTATATAACACTTATGTTATATAAAATAACTAATATGACATTTTATTTAAAACCGTCCTAACAATTTGTTAAAATGCCTAAAAACATCCTAAAAATCTATTATAATACTTTTAGAGACAATAGTTTATAATTTGATCCGATAAATTTAAGTCATATAAAATATGTTATTAAGACGTTTAAACATTTTAATCCTTCCATACAAGTATCGGTGGTATCCAACTTCACATGCACATGATGCTTTTCTTGCTTCACAAGGCAAAGAAGAGGCTTTACGTCTCCTGAATGATGTGAAACTAAATACTTTTTAATTAATTTTAGATATTTCAACAATAGACAATGATGCCTTTGTAAGATTTTTCATGATAAATAAATTTTATACGACATCGTTTTAAAAAATTTACATGTGGTGTGTGTATATATATGAGAATGGTCTAAGAATCGTGTAAGAAAGAAAGTTACGATGAGAATCGAAAGAAAAGATCTGAACCCTTGATACTCTTGATCTCATGCTCATCTATTAGTAGGGAATTGATCTGGTGTATCTCATTAATGTTGACATTCAATTATAATTGATTCAAAAGTAGAGATCTCTTCTTACGATTCTCACCAGAACCCAACCCCACGAGAAATTAGTACCGTTTCTATTCTTAGGGGTAGCAACATAAGTCCATGAGCCAAAAATATGCTTAATATGACACTCTTCTAAGTGTATTAATATTGAGTCTCATTATCTTATATTATTTTCTGTTACATCACACTAATTTTCGACAGTTTACGAACATGTTAGATGATCTACATATTCATATTCATATTTTACCAACTACATATGCATATTCGTATCTACATGTGCAATTTATGGGTTGACGATGAGATTAAAAATGATCGATGGTCTAGATCTTTTCTTACGCTTCTCCGTTTATTCTCAGACGATCATTTGTCTATATCTATATGCGTGTATATATAGACAGAGACACTTTCATTTGTTAACCGCTTAGATCCCTTCTTAGGTGTGTATGTGTGTGTATGTATCTAGATCTCTTCTTACGCTTCGGGATGAATATTTATCATTAATAACAAATTCATGATGAATACAGAAGTATTATTCATGATGAATACAGAAGTATTATTCATGATGAATATTCCACGTGTCGTGGTGTGGCGTACCGTTATTAACATGTAAACATTTCCATTAATATATAAAGTTGATATTCACTTTCTTTATCTACAGACTCCCTATAAAAGTGCAGGTGTAAGGGTTCCACTTTTCATTCACAGTTGCATATATGCATAGAGCATCACAATCAAATCCAAGAAGCATATTACTGGAGTCATGAAAACCACAAGCTCTACAAACTTGAATGAGTTGAATCCTATCAGCTCCCTGCAACACCAAATTAACATCTCAACTGCTTCACATGATCAACCACCATTAAATCTGCCTTTTCCAGATCTGCTTGATGGTAAGTTTTTTGAGTAGTTAATCAATAACTGCCAAAAATCTGTTTCTATAATACTTTTTATTGTCATTTTCTGATTCGACTACATACAAATCTACATGCTTTTGTTGAAATTTACCATTTTATAATTATTATATCGTCATATATATATATATATATATATATATATACACACACATATATAGGGTTGTGTTCCACTGAGAAAAGAAGTTACGTTGAAAAACGTAAGAAGAGATCTTCACCCTTGAATCAATCTTGATTGAATGTCAACACTAACGAGGTGCACCAGATCAATTACCTTCTAAAGCGAAATTCATGGGTGCGCATGAGATTAAAAGTGATGAAAAGTTTAGATCTCTTCTTACGCTTCTCAACATAGGTTCTATTTTCACACGATTCTTCGCCTATATATAGTGAGGTTCAAATAAGAAATTGAGAATGTAAGAATAAATGATTTATATGAGAATTTTTGGTAAAAGAAAATGTGGGTTCACAACTGGATCTTCATATGTGAATAATTGATAAAAAGGTAGGTAACAAAACGTTAGGTTCACATATAAATCTTTAAATGGATTTTTTTACCAATAATTTACATATAAATCATTTATTTATTATGTTCTCGACATGTTTGCCTTTTTATTTGAACCAATTTGCGTAAAAAACATATGCTAACATGGAAATGTACACTACTAAAATCAAGACTTTCGGTGCCGACAATTTCCATCGAAAACTTTTTTGACAAACTTTCTGACGGAATTGAAAATATATTTTGACGGGTTTACTACTGCATTTTGCGACGACTTTACAACAGAAATGCTTTTCGACTGATTTTCGGTGAAGCTTATTTACAACGGATTTCCTATGGATTTTGAGCGGACCGGATTTTTGATGAATAATTTCTTGAAAATTAACTTTGTGTTACGGATATTTCGGTCGTATTTAAAAAATATACTTTTGAAATTATTTATATAATCGATTTGAATTGCAATTTATAATTTCCAAAATTTAAAAAGTTGATTCAATTAAGTTTAAAATTACATTAATATCTAAATTCAACTAAAATTTGTTGGAAACTAAGGGGTTGTTTACCAAACACTTACCCAGTAAGCACTTATCAGTAAAATTCAATACCATTATTTACATACCGGATAAGACTTTAGTCAACAAAAACGGCGTTCTATGCAACAATTTACCCGGTAAGAGCTGACCGTGGTAAGAGTCATTGCCCTCACTTACAGGGTAAGACTCTCAGACCTTGCCTCATTCTTACCGGGTAAGATTTTTGGTCCTTACCATATTCATCTGGTAAGGTAATATAACTTGGTAAGTGCTTACCCAAATAAGCATTTGGTAAACGACCCCTAAGAGTATCTTCAACAGTTATGATATTTTAGAAATTTTGGAGATTTGGGAAAAATTTGTTCCAACAACAATTCTAAACCTCTTCTAAAATAGAGAGAGAAAAAAAAGAGAGAAAATGGAGATTTCTGTAAATCTGAAAGGGAGAAAATATAGCATACATGTTGCAGATGATGAGAAGTAACAATGAGTTTGTGGCATAGCCTCCATTTCTCATAGATCTATAAAATTAACTGAAAATTCATTTTTCAGATAAATGTTCGTCGGAAATCCATAGAAAATGTTTTGCTGATTTTCGATGAAATTATTTGCAAGTTAAAGTCCAGTTTTAGTAGTGAACATAAATTAAAATGAAAATGCTAATATAACTTAAAATATATCAACATACCTTATAATGAAAAGTTTAACATGTCTGAACCTCCGTTCCTACGTTTCTCACCAAATATAATATACGCACACATACATACATACATACATACATACTTAAATATGGGGAAAAGATCATGGGAGAAAAAAAACCCTGTTAGATTGAATGATCTAATAGATTTGTCAAAGAAAGATACGTTAAACTTACAGTCACCTTCTTCTTTTAAAATTAACTCCCCCCCCCCCCCCCAACCCTATTTTTTTTATCCAAAACTACTAAATATAATCAAAATTGGAGTGAAACAAATACATCAGTTTTATTCATCTTAAATTTGACATCCATATTAATATATATTTTTATCTGTTTTTTGTGATTCTTCGGGGGTTTTTTCGTTTTTGGAGTTCTCTCTACTATAATCCCTATAAGACTATATATCACACAACAAAACAAATGATTTTTATGCACATAAATCACCCTGGGAAATTTCCGTGGTATGGATAACCCAGATAATACCAATGGTACAGTAAAATTCGATGTTTTTAGAGAAAATATGAACGGATCACCCATAGAATATCTGGGTAATCTGTCACTGATTTGAATTACCCACCAACTTTTGTTACGGTTTTGTGATGAATCACAGACGGATTTCCTAGAGAAAAGTCCGTAGACAAAAGTTTTCTATTAATAGTGTCATGTTCTTCAAAGACTGTTTAATGATGATCTTCAAATTGAAGTTTCATAAATTTCTAAATATGAACAAATGAAAACCAAATTATCTTAGGACTCAAAAGTAATAACTTGATTTTGGAATTATCTTGAAGGAAGAAGAGAAGACTACAATAAAATTTGTGTTCCTTTGTATAAAGCATCACTAACCGGCGATTGGAAAGCTGCAAAGGCCATCCTTGACACCCGTCCAGAGCTGGTACGGTTTAGCATCACTGAAAATAATGAAACAGTGCTACATGTTGCAGTATTGGGGAAATCATACTTGTTTGTCGAATATTTGGTACGTATGATGGAAACGAAGGACTTGTTACTTCAAAATAAAAATGGTCAAACTGCGCTCTATTTAGCAGCCACCGGACAAGATGTGAGAAGAGCCAAAATTTTGGTGAAAAAGAACAAAAACTTGTTAGAAATCCCTGATAATCAAGGAATGATGCCTCTCTACATGGCTGCTTTATTTAGAAATCACGATATGGTGACCTATTTGTATCGTAATTCTCAGAAAATGACCGGCGAGTTTTGGACACCTAAGAATCGAGGTTGGGTTCTTGTGAAATGTGTTCAAGCTGATCTATTTGGTAAGTATTTTGGCACATAAGCATTTTAGCTTCTTGTTCTATCATATATGTGCATATGCTTTTGTGCATTCGCATCTTCACTACAATATTAATTAGGTTTATAGGACGTCAAAAATATCTAAGCGTTCTAATATGATATACTATATGACTTTAATTTATAGGACCAAACGAAGAAACATCATGTCTAAAAGTGTTATGATAGGTTTGTAGGATGCTTTTGGACGTTTAAACAAGTTTTTAAAGACGTTTTTAAAAATAAAGTGTCTTATTAGTTATTTTATATGACACTATTTGAAAAAGTGTTATATAAACATAAATGTCTTATAAGAAATGGGTTTATAAGACACTTCCCAAAAGTGTCATATAAAATAGCTAATATGATACTTTAGTATAAAAATGTCCTAAGAAGTTGAAACCTCTAAAAGTGACTTATAAATATATTATAATACTTTTAGATAATACGTTTTATAGTTTGATCCTATAAACTTTAATCCTATAAAGCATCATATTAGAACATTTAGATATTGTATCCTATAAACCTAAGTTTGTTATAGTGCTTGTTACATACTTTGGTAATATAATTTTGAAGAATGACTTAGCTATGGCTTAATACAAAAAGTATAATGCTATGGCCCCTACATTTTGGTTGTTCAGTTTTGTTGTTATTGTCATAAAGCTTGTGTTATGAAGTGATTTGTTATATGTTTTATAGACATCGCACTACAAATGGCGAAAGACTGTCCCGAGCTTGCTATAAATGGGAGGGTACTCAGAGTATTGGCTCGAAAACCTTATGCATTTAATGATATCAGACCTAATATCATTCGAAGACTCATACGCTTACGTGAGAATTTCTCCTCGATCCTTTATTTATATTATGCTTTATATGTTTAAATGTTAAAGGCATAAGTACTTAGAGGACACTAATATTTTTCTTTATGTAACAAGGTCGACTTTTTATTGATATATATATATATATATATATATATATATATATCTATCTTAATCATTTGAGAACCTCATGTATTGTGATAATTGTGAGCACTATTATAGTAAAATATTGTTTAATATGCTGGTTAATATATATTTGTTTCATAATGTGTTTGTTTCATATGTATTCATTTCACAATGTGAAACTTTTTTAGTTTTGAAAAACACATAAAAGATGTTTCACATTGTGCAGCAAAATATATGTTAAAAAAACATATTGTGAAGCAAATATATATTAATCAATACACTAAATCCGAGTTGTAGATGAAAAAAAATCATGTGAAATAGCATATAATGCACCGGTCTCAAAGTTATCACAATTTTATGGGTTCTCACATGAAAGACCCTCTATATATATATATATATATATAGTGGTATATTCAAATAATAAGGTTAAATATCTTGAGAAAGTAATAACGAACTTTATGGAAGGTTCATTCATATGTGAATCATTGAAAAAATTCATTTGAAAAAGATGAATATACAAACCCATATGAAATTTGAAGATTCATATATGAACTGATGTTAGAAATTATTCATATGGGTTTGTATATTGATCTTTTCAAATGAATTTTTTCAATGATTCACGTATGAATAATTTCTAATATCAGTGCATATGTGAATCTTCAAATAGATCTTTTTTTATATGAATTCACATATGAACTTCCTTTAAACCAACCCCCTCTCTCTCTCTCTCTCTCTCTCTCTCTATATATATATATATATATATATATATTTTGTGATATTTGAACCATTACAGATTGAAAACTATGGGTAAACCTTTGGTGAGATTTGAACCAATGGTAACATAGTGTACTTTGGTTTCTTAGTTTTTGCAGTGTGCCATCCCAAGATTGGAATTCCTGACATGGAAAGTCATTCCTTGAAATTACTAAGAATCATGTGGACAGAGATTGTGAAATTGCCCAAGGATCAAATAGATGAGATAATAAGAGGTCCACCAGACCAAACTAAGGAAGATGAAAGGCAAACTGGTTGTGAAAAAGAGAAGCATGAGCATGAAGCATTGGTATTGCTAAGAACCATTTCAGACAACATCGCAAATATGCCTACTAAAATCTTTAACCTATTCGGAGGGTCGGTTGATGAAAACACGAGGTGCAAAGATGCAAAGCGAAAATACTCTTGTCGAGTACTGTTTCTTGCTGCGGAAATGGGTAACACTGCATTTATCATCGAGGTTATTCAACAATATCCGCATCTAGTATGGGAGGTAAACGATAATAACCAAAGTATATTTCACGTTGCGGTCTCGCATCGTCATGAGGGTATCTACAACTTGTTATATGAGATAGGATCACTCAGGAATTTGATAATTACTCTCGAAGACAAAAATGGCAACAATATGTTACATTTAGTTGGAGAGAGTGCAAAGATTAATAGGCTACAAAACATACCAGGAGTGGGTCTGCAATTGCATCTAGAAACCTTATGGTTCAAGGTACATCTCTTCACTCTTCATATATAAAATCAACTTCCTTTTCTTGCTCTATTTTTCAAATCTATAAAATAATAAGCCCAATTGGATTCAGTACAACAAAAATTAATCTTGTAGAACGTCTAAGCGTTCTAAGTAAAGATTTTATGGGACTTAAGTTTATAGGAACAAACCATAAAACGTATTTTTGCATCTTTGCAAAGTCGTCCGATGTATTTTTAGCCTAATCACACCGTATTCGAGGGATTTTATAGGTTTTTTGGTTGATTTCGAGTGATTTTTTTTTAATTGTTTTTGTCGATTTTGAAGGGTTTTTTTTTTATTAAATTCATAATTTTTTTAATAGGGTCTCATTCCCCAAGTTGATCTTACAAAATAACCTAAATATAGTTAATACATGTGTATTTTTTAGGGGTGTTCAACACAACCGTTGTACCATTCAAACCAAGTTGAACCAAGTCAAACCGGACCCTTTTTTGGCGGTTTTAGCGGTTTGGCATTCTGGTTCGGTTTGAAAAACAGCCAAATCGCTTGGTCCAGTCTCGCCTGCGGTTTAAACGTTTTTTTGAATGGTCGGATTCGGATTGAACCGACCATCAAAATTAAACATGTATTAACTATATTCAGTTTATGTTGTAAGATCAATTTTTATGGCACAATTTAAAAAGTTCATCAAAGACATTATGTTTTTAATTTTTTAGTTTCTCAATTGACTACGTTATCTAAAATGGAAACATTCTAAAATTTGTCACAAAAAAAAAAAATCCAAAATCCCAAATTGTCGTCCAACTTGCTCAATTTTGTCCATAGCTTTTGTGGGTTTGTTTAACTTTTTTTCAACTTGATCGATGTTTGTTTTTAAATCTTAAAGATAGATGTTTTTTTTATAATTTTCTATACTATTTTTAATAAAGTTCTATTTGTAGAAATTTTATTTTGAATATAAATGCTAGGTTTTTTTAGTTTAAAGCCTATAAGAGGCCCAAACCGGCACATCAGACCGTCTTTTTGTGGTCTGGTTTAACCGGTTTGGTCACTTATTACCAAACCACTCGGTTTGAAATTTTTTCTAAACCGCCGTTGCGGTTTGAGAGGTTAAACCGTCCAAACCGGACCTCGAACAACCCTACTTACTATGTAAGTCTGCTACTAGTCATATCTAAAAGTGTTACAACAGGTTGATAAAACACACTTAGACATTTCAACAAGTTTTTTAGGACGCTGTTAAAATCAAGTGTCGTATTAACTATCTTATATGACACTTTTGAAACTTTGTCCTATATACATAAGTGTCCTATAAAAAATGGGTTTATGAAAATGTCGTATAAAATAAGCTAATACGACAATTTATACTAAAAGCGTTCTAAAGAAACTTGTTAAAACACCTAAAAATGTTTTATAAACCTATTGCAACACTTTTAAGGGTTTACACTTTTGTTTCAATAAACTTAAGTTCTATAAAGTATTCTATGAGGACGTTCAGACATTCTAGTTGTCCTACAAAGCCAATTTTTTTGTCGTATGATATGAATATACTATGATATTTGTGACGTTAGGAAGTAGCGGCCATACTCCCTCCTCCTTTACGAGAAAAGAAGAACGCGGCTGGTCTAACGCCACACGAAGTATTCACCAAGAATCACAAAGATCTGTTTTCGAGAGGTGAGGAGTGGATAAAAGAAACCGCTGCTCAATTAATGGTGGTCGCTTCGCTTATAGCCACCATATCGTTTGCAGCTGCTTTTACGTTTCCAGGTGGATACGACCAAGTAACGGGTGTCCCTATCTTAATCCGAAAACAACTTTCCAAGATTTTCATAATATTTGATGGCTTGTCGTTTATATCCTCGACAACCTCAATCCTCCTGGTCTTGTCCATCCTCGGTTCTGATTACACTGAACACGATTTCATGATTTCGTTACCCCAACAACTGATGATATGTCTAGCATCACTTTTCATCTCTATAGCGACCATGATCCTTGCGTTTCTTATCCATTTTATACTACTTTATCAGAACACTTTTAAATGGATACCGGTTTTTATAAGCTCTTTTGCCGGCATCACATACCTAATATTCGGTAGCCCGAAATTTCCGCTCATAGGTCGATTTCTATACGGTTCTAGATTACTATTCCAAAGAGAGAGGAGAATGCTTAAGAGACCCATCTTTTAGCCATTTTCCTTTTGATCATTTGAACTGATGTAGTTTTGTATGGCTAGCAATTGAAAAGTAGATGATTTGGGTTAAAAGTTGATTACCGGCAACCCCAAGGGTCCCACACGAAACCCTCCTGCAATGACATCAATGTGAGGAAGCATTTGTTAGCTTATTCAACGGTTTAGACTAATGAAGCAACCTCGGTTTAAACCAAGAATTTGTCTTGTATTTGGATAAATTCATCCCACCCTCTTGTGAACTAATCTATATGTCAAATGTAGTTGAAATCAGATGATTATACATAGTGGATATATTGATGTATATTTCAAATACATTTTATTGGTGTTTAAGCAATTTTCTAACAACTGGTAGATTCACCTTTCAATTTTTTAAAGTAAACTTTGATGATTATATATGTATCCTGCAAACTGGGCTTTTTTAGAGCAAAGAATCTCTATAATTTCTTTAAAATGGTAAATAAAAAATCAAATCTAAGAAAAGTTACATTCTCAACTTTAAATGATCGTTTATTTTGAAGATTCTAATATTAATTATATATAATAAATAAACTATTTCTCTCAATTGTACATTTCACTTCAACTAGTCTTATTGGTAAGAATTATATATATATATATATAGAGAGGGGGGGGGGGGTTTAAATTGCAAATTGTCTATTTCGTGCAAACTATAGAAACCAATTTCAAGCAATAAAAAAATTCTATGTTTTATTCTTTATTTTTAATGAATAAGAGTATAAATATCATTTTACTTTGTAATGGTTGATCTTGATAATGTTTTAATTGTTTTTATATATGGAAAATTAAATATAGTAACTGTTTTTACGGAATATGTAAATCAATTTATTTTGATATATAATTATCACCATTAATACTTTATATTCTTTTATTAAATTATACTCCTAAAATATGAATTGTAAAATTATACTCCTAAAATCAGTTTGATTACAAATAATTAACGGTCTAATCATGTTTCAATAACTATTAATGAAATAGTTTCATATATGGTTCACAACATCATGTCAAATGGTCCATCTTTCATTCAATGTAATAAGGAGTCTCATGAATTTATTCAAGAAACCGTGAAACGGTTTCATATATTGTTTTATTTTCATTTTAAAACAAATGTCATTAATGAAACCCCGTTATACAGTTTTCAAAATGTTTCAAAAATGACACTAATTTCATTTTGGTTATGAACCATGAAACTACTTTCATTAATGAAATAATAGTATTCAAGTTTTGAAATTTTTCATTGACTGAATCATATTTGGTTTCATTAATAAAACCAATTTAATCTTGGCTATAAACCATGAAACCGATTACATTTTGATTAGGAAACATAAAACAAATTTAAAAATGAATAAAATATTATTATTCAGATTTTGAAGTGTTTCATTGACTGAACAATATTTACTTTCATATGTAAAACTGAGTTCATCTTGGTTAGAAACCATGAAACCGATTCAATTGCAAACCACTCTTATTTGTGAAAACCGTACAAACCAATCTAATCCATCAATTTTCTTGATCAATGGTCAAGATTAAATGTGTTTATATTAGGAAATAAAAAAAAAAAAGTTTAATTTTTAGTTAAAAAGGGCAAAATTGTCAAAAATTTAATTTGTGTGATTTTGTAAACGAGGTAACAAGATCGTGAATATCATAACATAAATGAAACAAAATCATTGTTTTAAAATCTCTATATATCACTTTATCATTACAAAGATTTTAACAAAAAATGTTAGAATAATCTGACAAATTATATGTTTGATAAAAAAATATCTTAATTTTATGACTAAATACTATAAATAAAATAACATCCACATTAAAAATAGATCCAAATAAGGAGGAATAAAACTAGGTATATCCTAATAAATTATAAAACATAAAAACATACTTTAATCAACAAAAAATAATGAAACCTTTTGAATAATAAATGAAAGATTGTGTTTCATTAAATGAATGAATGAAACTGTTTCATTGTTCATTAGGGGTGTTCGCGGTCCGGTTTGGGCGGTTTAACCCCTCAAACCACAAACCAAACCGTAATGGCGGTTTATAAAATTTCCAAACCGAGCGGTTTGACATCAAGTGCCCAGACCGGTCAAACCAGACCAAGTAAAAGCGGTCTGGTCTGACCGGTTTAGGCAGTTTGGGCCTTAATATATATATATATATATATATATATATATAAAATTTAGAATTTTAGATTAAGTATCCATTTTAACAAAAAAAATATCTAATCAAATAAATGTAATAATTAAGCAGCTCTTGAGTACAAAGTCGAGGCAATCCAAAGTACAAACATATAAAGATATAATATATTAGAAAACAAATAAATTAACAAGGTTACAACTCTACTGTGAGTATTGAGTAACAAAATTCACGACTTCACAACCTTCAATGGTTCAATTCTTAAGTCTTGACCAAACAAAATAGAAGYYAAATCTAAGTTGGTTKAATCACTTGGTTGATGTCTTGATAATGTGCGCCGAAATCAAACCATGGATTAGAAAGATCAATAGATTGATAGAGTTTTTGAGGGATTTCAAAATTTGGAGACCGTCAATATCAAATGTGTCGATATGTTCAATGGTTTAATGGTTTTAGTCGTCGATTTTGATTATGTTAATATGGGTCATAATCAATAAGTTAAAAAAGTTGGGCTTGCTAATATTAAAATAGATAAATAAATATATATATATATATATATATATATATTTGGCGGTCGGTTTGGTCCAAACCGCCCAAAAAAGTTTCCAAACCGCAGACCGGATCGCCCGGTTTTGCTATTTTCCAAACCAAACCGGACCGCCAGACCGCTCAAACCGCCAAAAACGATCCGGTTTGACTTGGTTCGGTCGGTTTGAGGGGTCCAAAGGTTTTTTTGAACACCCCTACTGTTTATGTTATGAACTCACGTGACTCCTTGTCACCTACAATGAAAGATGGACCATTTGACATGTAGTAGTGAACGACATATGAAACTATTTCTTTAACAGTTATTGAAGTAGGATTGAACTCTTAATAATTTCTAATCAAACTAATTTTAAAACAAGAGATATCCTAATAAACGATGAAACATATTTATACTATCTTATTAAGCAAATTTAATAAAAGTCTTAAAGTCTTAAAATACTAAATGACCAAAATACCCTTTATACTCACTTTTTCACCCCTTCCTCTCCTCACATACACTCATCTCCTCACATACACTCACCCTCTCACAACCCATTTTTTTTAAATTATAATTTTAAATTTACACTTTATACCCTTATAATTAATTAATTAATTTACTTTACGTCCTTTACTTTTAAATGTTTCATTTTAAACATTTATCAAATTAACATACATAATTGTATATCAATTAAAACATGTTTAAAAAATACATTTTTATTTTAACAAGTTACATCATTATAATCATCTCGTTA